ATACGAATGCAACCTATATAGCACCCAATATATAGACTATAAACGTCTCAGGTATGACGGGGGTAACGCAAAACACACGTCACTCGAATGTGTCGTAGAACGCAAAACGCACGTCATACCTGAGACTATAATAGTCTAAACAGAGCCGTTTTTTGTTTATATAAACAAAAAACGGCTCTGTTAATTATGATCACATTACAAATGACTAAATTTTGATCCCTGTAATTCTTGTTAATACCAATGTTCACATTTGTCTGGTTTTGTTGCAGCATGCCCATGTACAACTAGCATAGTGGACATTTGATTTCATTGGCTGAAACTTTGTTGATCATTCGTTATTCCAAATTTGGAAATACCAAATACTGCAACGATAAACATCCTAAATAGTAAATTTGCACTACGTAAAAATTTGATTGGCTGAAATTCCGCCTTTTTCTCCTTTTCTTTTCTCAAAAACTCACATAATATGAAAAAATTTAACTGTTCATAAAAAACCCATGAAATTCTATTCAAATAAAAAATTAAAATAATTAAATATTTGTTTAAATGGATTTTGATGTGGGAACACACATCCAGGAGACCTATGAACAGTTAAATTTTTTCATATTATGTGAGTTTTTGAGAAAAGAAAAGGAGAAAAAGGCGGAAATTCAGCCAATCAAATTTTTACGTAGTGCAAATTTACTATTTAGGATGTTGATCATTGCAATATTTGTTATTTCCAAATTTGGAAAAGTACTGGACTGAAAATCGTGATTAAATCCATTAATATTTCTTAAGGGTATCATTTTTCCAATCAATATTTCAATAAGAAGCTCAAATAAATTTTTAAGTATTGACCCATCAGGCTCCGGATGCTATTTGAACTTTTTTATAATATTTAATATGAGTTTATTTAATCTTTTCGACTATTCAATTGGTAATAATAATTGGAATTATTTTTTTCATTTGATCTAAATCTAATCAAATTCAATAAATTTAAAGAAGAAATAACAAATTCAAGTAATATTATTGATAATGACGACGATGATAGTGAAAATGGTGAATTTAATTCTGGTAAAAGATTGCTCAATTCTGGTGAATTTGGATGTGCAAAAGTATGTACGAAAGAAAATCATTTTTAATTGTTGGGCATTTTTTTAATTGGATTGATATTTTATATTTACATATATAGATAGGTCCTTCGCACGAAAAGACATTGAATGGAATTAAACTATTTTCAAAAAATATTTGTAGTCAATTATTGTTACGTGAATTGGTTCCAAGAGAAATTTCTAACCTACCATTTAGAAAAGTAAGCTAATTGTTTTTTGTGTGTGTGGAAGGAAAAAACCTTAAAATCTAATAGTCAAATAATAATAGTAATCCGACATTACTAGAAATTCATTCCAAACACTAATGGAAAAGTGATTCTTCGATATGCTGAACCTGCATATTCTGGACAATATTCTCAAGATGGCTCATTATTCTACTCTTGTAGTAAAGATTTTCGTGTTCGCATATATGATACAAATGATCCACAGGATCCTAAAGAAATTAAAGTTATCAGCGGGGTAAATTAATATCTAGTACTAGTGTTATTATTATCACTATTAGTAATATCGTTAACAATATTATTAATAACAATAATAGGAGGAATTTGGAAGATGGACGATAACGGATGCTAATCTAAGTAATGATAATAAATGGATAGCATACAGTAGTATAACACCATCTGTATGTCTAGCAAAGACTGATGTTGAAGAAGATTACCAAACAATTTTAGATTTTGACAATGGTGAATTATATGCGGCAAGTAATGATATAGTAAAATTGGTGAATGATAACAGTAGATATCATAATTTTTTAATAACTATTGATTTTTCATCAAATAATTAATTAAATAGTTGTGGTCTATTCGATTTTCCAATGATTCTAGAGAACTCGTTGGTGGTGGTTCTAGTAGATGTATTTATGGTAATTATTATCATTACAATTAATATTAGCATTATAATTGATATTCCCATTATAATTAGTATTATAGTTATTATTATTATTTTCATTATAATTATTAATCACTGAAATCTTCATATTATTATCATTATTAGTCTATGATATTGAAAGAAAAGAAGTAATTCTTGAAATTGATGGCCATAAGGATCATGTTAATGCAGTGTGCTTTGCTGATGATTCATCGCATGTTCTTTTCAGTGGCAGCGATGACTCTTTAATTAAAGTTTGGTATGTTAAATAATAAATTTTTTTATAAAATTATAAATATTAATATTATTATATGGTAGGGATCGACGGTCAATGCATAATGAAAAAGAATGTGGTGTATTAGTTGGTCATACTGAGGGTTTGACATATGTATCATCGAAGGGTGATGGTAGATATTGTTTATCAAACGGCAAAGATCAAAAAATGAAATTATGGGACATAAGAAAAATGATGTCGGGTGACCAATATAAAAGACTACCTCCAGTAAATCTTCGACGTAGAAAATGGGATTATAGGCATATGAGATATCCGGGAGATATATATTTTGAACATCCACAAAATGTATCTGTTATGACTTATCGAGGCCATAGTGTACTAAGGACATTGATTCGTTGTCATTTCGGATATTTAAATTTTGGCGGATGTCGAATATTCTCACGGAATTTAAATTGACGGATGAATTTTGGTGGAAAACTACACGATTATCTAAGGCTAGCCCCACAAGAAAATGTATTTGCTACACTATAAGAAGCATCACTTATAACATTACATAAATATGGCTTCTCGATTAATTGCAACTAATCTCTGAGGTTTATTGAATTAATTTTTTGGTCTATTCTAAAGTAAGTTTACTAAATTAATATTAGATTATATTGTCAAGGTCTAATGACAATTGTTCTTGAATATTAACTTGTTCATAAACAATACGTATTAATACTGAGATACACATGTGCAATATTTTTTTTAATTAACAAATTTGTATTTACCTTTACGAAGTCATCATATGATTTAACAATTTTTCGGGAAGATCTGGCAAATGGCGAATCTTATGTCTTCCAACTCGTCATCAGTAAAAACTCCTTCGTTTACATATGAAAAGTCATCTAAATCCAAGATAAAACTATGAGATAAGCTTATAACAATGGAATAGGAAAGAAGATCACAATGATGAATAGAATATTATAAACAATCAAAACAAAGAATATCAGTATCAATTCACTGCCCTTAGTCATAATTCTTTCCAAATTCTTAGAGAGAATCTTCTTCGACCGATTGACGCCATTCATTTTCATTTTTCATGGTTTAGAATGCTTTCGTGAAGTTTACAATATCAAGTTTTGGAGTATCAACATTATTAAGAGGTCGTCCATTACCACCCGTCTCAAATCTTGCTTCCTCGAATGGTGATATTTCTGCTTCAATATCATCTTTGTCATCTACTATACGAATTAATTATTTGATGGATGCTTAGGAATTTTTCAAGATCTACATGTTTTAAAGTTTTCAAAATCTCATTGTAAAACCTTAACCTCAATCATAATTACCTTAGCAACAAAAATTTGCATGACTCTTAAATTCCGTGACGCAAGTTGTATATGATTTTGTTGAGTACACAATGAGTCGATTGATGATGATGCTGTTGAGGAGTAGGACGTAATCAAAATTCATCACCACTAATGACATCATCCCTAACAAAATTACCCTGGATCCTACAGAAGAATAAGGTAGTAGGTAAGTAATTAACCATTAACCTTCAATTGAGTAGGCAGATAAACAACATCCACTAACCTTGAATTTTGCTAATAGTCGATCACTTGTAATAATGTGTTCATATTCACCTGGTACATTAGACTCAATACGATGAACATGCTTGACTCTTTTATTATCAATTTTTGGTTGATCTTGTCTAATAAATAAATACAAGCTTCTTTTTTACAATTGTCGAGATGTTATTTTTTTTTTTAAACTAGAAAAGCTTTTTAAAATAATAACTATTCCAAATTTAATTCTTTCTTGCTCTGATGTGTTTTTCTTTGACTTCTACCCTATCTACTTTTAAAAAATTTATTTTACAATAGCAAATTTCAATCACTTTTTAATCCTGGTTTTGTTTATTTTTTTTTTTAATTTATTTAACTCACCACCTAATTTAATGTGAAAAAAAAAAACCAATTATACATTGTAAATGAGAAATTTATAAAACAATAAATTTTATAATCTATTATAAGAAAAAAAACAATAATCAACAAAAAATTAATTATCATATTTAATAATGCCAAAATATTTGGCAAATATGATATCCTCCATCAACTCAGCATCAGCGCGTGACATCAAATCATAAATCATTCTTTCTCTCTTAATAATTTCCCAATTGTCATGAATATATTGTAACGCCAAGTTTTTCAACGAAAGATTCTTGATTTTCCAACCAAGTAATAAAATATCAGCCCAATCATAGCTACTAGCATGGTCAGTGATTCTAGAAACAACCAATCTGCCCAACTCTGGGATATCTTTGTTATCAGCTTCAACACACAAATCCTTCAATACATTGAACGGTAGATCATCACTTAATACACCGGTATATAAAAAGTAAATTAATGATTTAAAACATTGATAGGTTACATCGTCGATACGAATTGTATTTGCCTTAGACTCGGCCCATTCACCATTAAACATCTTATTAAAATAATTTGAACGCATAGACAACGCCAATCTTGAAGCTTTAATTTCAGATTCATCGCTAAAACTAAAAGTCACATCACTAAAATTATTATTATTGAAATAAGATTCCAAGGAAGGTTGAAACTTGTTAGCATTACTACCAATGCTGTTAAAAAAGTTACTAATGATGTCGTTGTTGCTCGATTGTAAATTATCCTCGAGATATAATTTTGTTCTAATCATGACATCAACTTCGATAGTTGTGTCATTGTTTGGAAATAGACTTGTTAACTCGCAGAATTTAGCTTTCCCTCCACTGTCACCTTTCTGATCAAGGTTAAAACTTTTCTTGAAAATTGATTGACTAATATCTATAGGTTTCAATTCAGCTTTGAATGTGGCTGGATTAGTTTGAACTTTGAACAATTCAAATACATATTTAATAGTTCTCAATTGAATTCCATGATTTTTTTCATAATCAGTTTGGAACGCGTAAAGAAATAATGAAAAATGTTGCTCAGTCTTATATCCATGTGGAAACATACACATTCTCCAAGCACATCCATTATTACTACCGGTAAAAGAAGAGGAATTGGTTGCATCAATATTTGTAAGATTATCATTAGAAGCATTATTAGGTACATCCAACACCATCATGTTACTATCATTATCATTATTATTATTAGTGATATTAACAGTTGTTGGGGATGAACTTGGTGAATAGAAAGCATCACTCCAAACAGTTTGACAATGTGTTGGGTTTCTATAGAAATGTTGAAAATCCTTGATGTACCAATTAAAGGTTGTAGACAATTTACAATTATCCAATGCACTGTTATTATTTATATTGTTAGGTTGTGCTGTAGAAGGCGGGAGGACCGTAGTAATTGACTGTTGTAATTGTTGTTGTAATAAAGTTTGTTGTGGTGCTATAGGTGTTAATTTATCCAAGGTTCTTGTTGATTGAGGTGAAAATGCCATTATTAATTTCTGTTCTGAAGAAAAAATTTGTTGTATATGACGTGTAAGTTAGCTATTAAAAAAAAAAGGAGTTTAAAAAAAAAACGCGTTTTCTGAACTCTCCTGAATACCAATAGTTTGTAAATCTTTCCCTAAAATGAAAAAGTCATTTTTTGTTCCAAAGCACTTTTATGTCTGCTACTTACTATATGTTAGACGAACAAGCTATGGCAGAAATATGTAACGTATGTCGTTGGCGTATAATAACAATAAGTTTTATCGTTTGCATATATAAAATGAATTCATTCATAATGAACGAAAATAAAAGTTCTCCTCCCTTGCAATAACATCAGTAATATTAAGTAAGGGCCTTCCAAAAAGTCTAATAACATCATTAGAAATCATTTCAAACAAATTTACTTTTAAATTAATTAAAAAATTTATTATGAAAATTGAAGAAAAATAAAAAAAATTAATTAATTATTATTCTTTTACCATCATTACAAAATAAATCACATTTCTCATTATTGGATATATATAATGATTTTCACTAATTATAATATATACTTTAGTAGTCGAGACCAGATGACTCGAGCTGTATGAATGAAAATTTATTGATGACATGTGTAATGATTTAATTATTTATTGTAAATAAATAAAAAGAAAGAACAAAGAGTAGCTAATCAAATTTTGCATAATCAACCACGAAAATGATAGCTTCAACAGCTTCTAAAGCTTTCGAAGCCATTCAAGGAAAACTTTGGTAATGACAGAAAAACTAAAAATCATGCAGCTAAAACAGGAAAGAAACAGACACTCAACTCATTCTAGATATTATTATTCATAAAAAAAAATAAAAAATCTTGTTTGGGAAAATTTTAGTTGGTTTATATGTGGAGTAGTAACTGCATCTAATTCCATGCTTTTAACAATTCCATTGACATTCAACATTATTACAACAAATATCATTCTAATGGCACATAATCTTTTTTTGATTCGAAGGATTTTTTTATTGGTATTGGATTATTTTTCTTTGTTCCGGTAATGCTTGCAATGACTTTTTACATCAATTTTTGCTTCATTCTTTACAAAATTTTTAATTATAATTGGAAGAGAAGATATCTATAGATACTCGATACATTATTTCCAAGACTGGAGAAATTTTAGGTGAAAGGAAACGTGGTGGAGGTATAGGTGGAGATGATGAAACTGGTGAAATGGAGAAGGTGATGATGTTGTTTATGAATAAGGTGGAGTTATGGTTGCTTGCCAAAACTTCTTCGTAAATCAATCGGCAGTGTTTCACGCTAATTGTTTATTAGAGTTTCGGCAGAGTTTCGCATTTGGGGTTTTGACAATTGGCAGTTTTGGCAGGTTACACACTAATAGTTTTGGCAAGCAACCTTGGATGGAGTGAATGGATGATGATGATGATGATGATGATGATGATGATGATGATGATGATGATGGAAGTATAAATTTTTGTTTTAGTGGTTTCAGTTTTAATTTCTTTACAAAGTGTGCATTGTTTAGTTTTTTGGCATTTTGAAGAGAGGAATGATTCAACGTGGAAAACGTTTTACAAAGAGATAGTATATACACGCACTCCTTCCAAATTGGGTGAAAATTTTCTATACTGGCGATTGTGCAACATACCGAATTTTGCAATAGATGATATTTTCAATGATCTTCTGATGTGATATTTGTCATTCATCTGCATATTTGATTACCTCATCTTTTTTTGATTGTCCCACTGTAAATAATAATTATAATAATTTATAAATTGAATTGGAATTCTGAGAAAAAAAAATTTTTTTCAAAAAAAAAAAAAAACAATATTTATCACATCAAAACCAATTAAATAAAATAAAAAAACAAAATGACACAAAGAATCCAACAAATAACTAACCATCTCATCGGACCTAGCAGTAATTCAATTCTTCCAAAGGTCGGTAAAAAATCACCAGAGGATGTAGTAGTAGTAACAGCAGTTCGCACAGCACTTACCAAAGCTAAAAAAGGTGGCTTCAAAGATGCATTTCCCGAAGAATTGCTTGCCGCAGTTTTTAAGGCGGTGCTTGATAAATCAAAAATTGATCCCAATTTGATTCAAGATGTGGCGGTTGGTAATGTTTTACCACCCGGTGGTGGAGCTACAGTTGCAAGGGCTGCAGCTTTGTATGCCGGTATTCCCGAAAGTGCTGCCTTGAACACCGTTAACAGACAATGTTCTTCTGGTTTACAAGCAATTGTTCAAATTGTTCATGAGATTGCACTTGATCAAATTGAAATCGGAATAGGTGATATATATATATATATATATATATATATTATACATAATATTACGCATGTATTATTTATACGATAATATTATTATTTGTTGTTAATTAATTTATATCCTTGTTTGTTTTAAAGGTGCCGGTGTTGAAAGTATGTCACTTCATTATGGAGCAGGAGCAATGGCAACAGATACTTCAGAAAAGGTATTTTCAAATCCGGCATCACAAGATTGTTTACTTCCGATGGGAGCAACTTCAGAAAATGTAGCAGAACAATTTGGAATTTCGAGAACCAGACAAGATCAATTTGCTGTTGTGTCTCATCAAAAAGCAGCAGCAGCACAAGAAGCCGGTCTCTTTAAAGAAGAAATAATTCCTGTAAGAACCAAATGGATTGATCCCAAGACAGGGGACGAGAAAGAAATAGTTGTTGACAAAGATGATGGAATTCGTAAGAACACAACGTTGGAAGGATTGGCTAAATTGAAACCAGTATTCAAAGATAATGGTACTACTACAGCAGGTACTGCCTCACAAGTTTCTGATGGAGCAGCAGCAGTTTTGTTGATGAAACGTAAGACAGCTGAAAAACTTGGATTACCAATTATTGGTAAATTTATTAGAGCATCAGTTGTTGGAGTTCCACCAAGAGTTATGGGAATAGGGCCTGCTTATGCAATTCCAGCTGTCCTTAAACTAGCAGGACTTTCGATTAATGATATTGATATTTATGAAATAAATGAAGCTTTTGCTTCTCAAGCAATATATTCTGTTGAGAAATTAGGAATCGATTTCAAAAAAGTTAATCCAAAGGTAATTGATAATTGATTGGGTATTTTTTTATTTTTTTTTTTGAGGAATAAAATAATCTAATAATTTTTTTAATTTATATTTAATAATTAATTAATTAAAAGGGAGGAGCAATTGCAATTGGTAGGCTATTAATTCGCATGATCATAATTAATTTATACTATTATTATTATAATACTATATAATTTATTAATTCTTATATATTTATGTATGTGTGTGTGTGTGATTAATAGGACATCCTCTGGGCTGTACTGGCGCACGTCAAGTATCAACACTCTTGACAGAGTTAAGAAGAACAAAGAAGAAATTAGGAGTTATTTCCATGTGTATTGGAACAGGAATGGGAATGGCTGCTGTTTTTGAAGCAGAATTTTAAAGTTATCAATAATATTGATTAATTAATCAGTTAACAGTCATTTGGTAATTTATAATATTATTTTTTCAAACAACTAACACATAGTTATTTAAAAGTTGGTATTTGTTTTTCAATGTAATGACATTTATTTATATTATATATTAAATTTAAAAAAATTTAAATTTAAAAATTTAAAACAAAAATTGTATACTATATATAATTGTCATTTGTAAATTGTAAAAAATTGATTTTTCCAAGATAAAAAATAAAATTCCTAAAATTTAAAATCCAAATGCAACATGTCCATTTAAACAAGCGATTTCTTGATCTTCAGCATTGTAAGCATTGACATACATGTTGTAACTTCCCTATTTATAAATTATAAATAATATATAATTAATTAATTAATAAATCTCTGAATAAAGCTCCGTGTAGCTAGCCGGTTTATAACTTAATAAGCTCGCAAGCTGATACTTACGGGGAAAACATTCCCAGGTATTTCAACCGATTTGTCAACTGTATGATTTCCTTTTTCAATCGGACAATTTTCATCAACTTCGGGAGCTTTTTCACATAAATCAAGCCGGATTTCATAAATCTTCATTATTCCATATTTAATCACCACATTAATATAACTACCATCAGTAACGGTTTCTTTGAAATATCCAGTGCCTTGAACACGTAATTCTTGACCTTTTTTTGGTGGATCAGGTGTTAATTCTATGTGGTGGATTAGCAAGATATCCTCTGGTTGACTACAAATTGATATAGTATCATATAGTGCCTTTACTGGAAATTCAATGCTGAGAACTTCTTCGATTGTTTCTTTGAGCGAGTCCACTTCTTCTTTAATCCTATTCGAATTTACTATTGAAGCAAATAATAACAATATAAAAGAAGAGAGTACAACTACAAACAAATTATTTTTATTATGCATGATTACTGACTGTTATGTTATCGTCTCTGTAACTTTTATATTCGCAAAGTTACACATAATGGCTATTACAGAAAAACGGCGGTCATATTTACATCATCTTTTATATAAATAGTAATAGAACAATTAATAATAACAATAACGCCAATTTGAAATTTTACGGTCATGTATTTCTTGAAGATCGTCAACCAACGAAATAATAAAATTATGAATTAAATTTATTACTTTATTTTTAATTGAAATTAAAATGCACAAAGAAAATAATTGGGATGCGAAGCGTCCTAGCATCCATTTGCGTAATAATGTAATTTTTAATAAAATAGACTATTTCGTGGCCAAATGGTGCATTGATCGAGTAGTCTAATAAATAGACCTGTTATCTCCCACTGTAAACCAAAAAGATTCCTAAAAAATAATTAAACCCCACAAAAGCTTTCATCATATTATTCATCAAAATTTGCTGCGCCAGATCTATGAATTTAACGAGCTTTGACTGTAATTAATATTTCAATCAGTGGATAATAATAAATGAATAATATAATTTTTATTAAAATCTAATTTACAAAATTAATAAATAATCTAAAATCTATAATATAAATAAATAAAATTTATCAAAACGTCTTTATTACATCATCAAATAATTCATCAAGATCCTAATATAGGTAAAAATATATTTACGTGAGTTAAAATATTAAATAGTACAAAATAAAATAAAAATAAATAAATTACTAACTAACCTGTTCTATTTTATCAAGTTGTTGATTAACGTCAGCAAAAACATCTTTAATTTCTTCTTTTATTTCAGTTGGTTTAATTTGTTCCAAAACTCTTTCAGGATCTTCATTTAAATGCCATCCACTCTTCCTACGCTCCTTCAACTCCAACATATTAACACCTGATCTCACAAGTATTAACAATTCTTTCAAACCAATATCATTCGACAACACCAAATCAATTTCAGAAATTGATAATACAGACGATGATGATGAAGGCATTTGATGATGTTTGCTAATTTTTTTTTGCAGATCGTTGGTTGATGATGAATTGATTGAATTAACTGATGAATTGGAAGAGGACCTACTTCTTGTTTTTGTTTGTTGGAATGGTTGTGTTTTATTGGGTTTGTACACTAAATCACCTACCGTATCTTGATTTTCAGATTCTATGCTTGTTGTTGAATTGAGTTGGGTAAAGTTTGAATTTGGATTTGGAGTTGGATTTGGATTTGGATTTGGATTTGGATTTGGATTTGGATTTGGATTTGAAGTTGGATTTGGATTTGGATTTGGATTTGAATTTGAATTTGAGTTTATGTTCGATTTACTCAACCTATATGATGGGTTTAGTTTCACTTTTTCAATTACACGACCAATCTTGTCTAAAGATTGACTTGACTCTTCATCACCATCATTATTTTGAGCCCGGTCAACAATCTTTACCAAAATATCTACATCTTGGGTAGTACTCTTTCTATAAAGTTTCTTTTTGTTAAGAGTTGACGATGAATTTGGGTCTTCTTGTTGATTTTGTTGTTGTTCTTTTATTGAATTCTCATCAGTTTCATCCTCTACCACAAGATCATCATCGTCACCCAAAATATCTTCGATAATATCACTGATATCAATCTCTTCACCATCAGTCGAAATAAATGAATAACGTACTTTCGACCCACCAAAAATCCTTGAACTTCTAATTGACCCATCATTTGTAACAATATCAACTCCGTGTTCTGCATTTTTATGGGCTGATACAATAGATTTTTGCTTGGCTCTACTATATTCACGTTGCTTCTCAATAAGTTGTTTTCTTTTTAGTAGTTCATCATCATCATTGTTATTATTATAACTGTTCAAAGTTTGTTGCTGTTGTTGTTCATGATTTGACTTTTTCATTTGTTTTCCCGATGATGATTTTTGCATGTATTTTTTTGGATCAGCGATATCTGGCATTGCACGATTTCTATGATCCTCAGGTTTTAACAGACGTAGAACAAATACGGGTTCATCTGGAAGATAATCTAATGCAAGTGAAGAATTGGAATCTAAGGAATCAATTGATAAATGCCTAAGATTTGGTAGCGTTGGATATGCAGATAGGATTCCTGCTTTAGGATGTAATAATTTTTCTATTTATAAAATAAAAATATAACAAAACATTTAATTTATAATAATAACATTTGTATTCGTTAAAAATAGTCAAATATCAAAAGTACTCATACATACCATTTCCTTCCATGTTAAGCATTAGTCTATAACGTGGTATTTCATCATCATTGCTTTCTATATGTTCACCATCATCAATAATACCATCAACTATACCAAATTTCTCCATTGACTTCAATATAACATCACCAACAGTTGCCAAACCATTAACAATCAAATGTTTTTCTTTTGGCTTTCCTTCCTCACGCGAACGTCTCCTAGCTGATTTTTCAGCGATATGTTTTGGTACTGACATGGATGTTCTTGGTATTGGCGCTGAAGAACTTTTTGTACGTAGGTGGGCTGGCAAATCATCCGCATATATTATAACATGTAAACGTAATTTCTTATCACTAATGGATGATCTAATATTTTTAACAAGTTTTTTATTTAGGTAGAATGTGACTGCAGCAGCCTTTTCATTATTATTCGATTCAATATTTTTTACCATTGGATGATTTGATATGTTGGAAAATGTTGAAGATACTGATGCTACTGAGCTTCTGTTTATGGATGGTAACATAACTGTTGAATGCGAATTTAATGATTGGAATACCTCAAGAGGATGATCATGTGGCATCAAATATGTTTCCTCTAAAATCATATATACATTAGCAGGGAAAAGAGATCATAAATAATAAATCTTAAAAAAAAAAAAAAACAAGAATTACAACAAACCTCCATCAATTCGTTTTATTGTAATGTAATAATCATCCAAATTATTTTCATTGTCAATTTTAAATCGATTTAATGCTTGTTTAATAAGGCTAGTGGTGGTAGTTGTTTGATTGATTAGAACAATCTTGAATGTAAAATTAGATTTCAGATTTTGACCAGAGAAAATACGAATAATACTATAGGTAGGAGAAAGCGGTGGTGATATTTGTGCGGGGGGATTTTTGTATTGTGAGCTTTGCATTGATTGTGTAGACGATAATGGTTGTGGTTGTGATTGTGGTTGTGGTTGTTGTTGTGGTTGTGATTGTTGTTGTTGATTTGGTGGTGGTGGTGGTGGTAGCTGTTTTTCTGCAGAAGGATTTCCATTTTGTGAATTTTGTATTGACTGTGTAGATGACAATGGTTGTGGTTGTTGTTGTTGCTGTATTGGTGGTGGTAGAACACGATTTGAATAATTAGGCTGTAGTTGTTGGTATTGCGTTTGAATGTCAGGAGGTCTTTGGGAATCGCCAAGTGACATGTAATTATTTTGTTGACCTTGTGGATATACACCAGGTTGTTGAAATAATTGTTGCTGCTGCTGCTGCTGCTGCTGTTGTTGTTGTTGAGATATTTGAAAGCCTTGTTGTGGATTCATTTGTATTCCCTGCTGTTGCTGCATTTGTAAATGAGTTGGTGGTTGTTGTTGCATTAGGTATTGGCCTTGATTTATTGTTGGTGGTATATAATTAGGCCTGACATTATTATTCATTGACATAGGATTCATAGGATTGTTGAGATCAGGGATGTAGTTGTTATAATTGTTTGTTTGATTATATGGTGCTGGTGGGATTGTTTCTAATTTAAGATTTTCATCATCTTTTTTCTTTGAAGAGATTTTTTTAAGTAAATTCTTGAATAACCCGGCAGGTTTTTCTTTTTCTTTTTTAAGAGCCTTCTTCTCCTCTTGAACTTTTAAGGCCATTGTTTTATTATATTCTTCGAGAGCATCTTTATTACTTAAAATTTTATTATTGCCACCATCATTAACATTAACATTATTATTATTATGATTCACCCTTTCCTTATCATCATCATCAGAAAAGTCCATGAAATCACTACCTAGAACAGGTGTAAGGCTCACTTTTATTGTCTGGCTTGGTTCGTTAAAGATATCAGGAAGTGGCGGAGAATTATTATTGTTGGGATTGATTAGATCGACAGGAGGAATAATACCAGTAGGTTTTCTTTGTGGTGTTTTATGCTCTGATACCATTTGAGATATATTGTTAGGATCAAAGCTACCATTATCGCCTTGATTATTTTGTAGAGTGTATTGCTGATTATTATTTTGTTGATTGTATGGTTGATTAATATCATTATTATTGTTATTGTTATTATATGGTGGATCAACATATTGTTGGTTATTTATATTATTGTATGGTTGACTATTATACTGCTGTTCATATGGTTGTTCCACTTGTTGATTAGTATTAGAAACGGAATCCAATTGAGTTTGTTCTGGATTTGATGTGTGGCTCATTGATTTATCTGTTATTACTTGTTCATTAATATTAATATTATTAATATTATTGTTGTTGTTGTTGTTGTTATTATTACTATTACTATTATTATTATTATTATTATTATTATTATTATTATTATTATTATTATTATTATTATTATAATTATTATTATTATTATTATTATTATTATTATCATTATTATCATTATTATCATTATTGACATCATTTCCTATTCCCATTATTGGAGAATCTGTAGTAATTGCATCATCATTTATAGATACAAAATTATTTGGTGTTGAATAATTTATGATATTCTCGATAGGACTATTTGAAAAGTTTTCATCCTCTGTTACTAATTCCTTTTCGTTTTCCTCTTTCTCTTCCATATCTAGTACTTTTTTATTTTTTATTTGAACATCAGCAATTAAATTATCATCTATTACTGATTTTTGTACATTTTCAACTACAACTTTAGATTCTTCATTTCCATCCTCTTCTTCCTCCTCTTCTTCCTCTTCATGTTCACCATCATTCTTATTATTTTCATCCTTGACTTCTTCATCTTCATCTTCATCTTCATCTTCATCTTCATCTTCATCCTCATCTTCATCCTCATCCTCATTATTTTTATCGTCATCTTCTTCTTCCTCTTCACCTTCCTCATAGTCATCATCTTCATAAATAGCATCAGCAACCATATATAATGGTGAAGTAAAAGTAACAGTTTTTTTTTTTGCCTGATTTTTTCTTTTTGATATGTTAGCTAGTATATCATCTATTCTATTATTTTGGGAAGATGATATCTTTTAAAAAATAAAAACATTTATTTAGTTATTCAATTGGTATATTAATTTTTTACAAAAAGGAGTTTAGTTGTTTTTACTCACATCAATATTTTTATGCTTATTCATTCTTGCCAGTCTTTCATATGGTGTCTAATTTAATTAATTTATACAGCTATGATTAGAATTGTAATAAACAATAAATATTCATAATTATATAGTATAATGAATACCTCAATGTTTTCAGCAGGTATATAACCAACTTCTTCACTTTTCAACACTTTAACTAACCACCAATAACTATTAGTATCATCTAACAAAGTTAAATGATCGCCTCTATCTACACTTGCCTGTCCATCGACGGTAGCTTGAAAAGTGTGAAATGCATAAACTAAATCAAAATCAATATCTTCATCAATGATTGAAGATGCCGAGGAATCGTTATCATCCTCTTCCTTCTCGGCATCATCCTCATTGGTGTTATTATTGGTTGCAGCAGTGGTATCATTTTCCTCTCCTTTATCTCCCCTGTTGTCATGATCGTTTGTTCGAGTATTATTGTTGTTGTTAATACCATTATTGGCATTTTTTATTTTTATTCCACGAGCAGCTGCGTCTGTGTCAATTGTGAGATTATGTTGTCGATTCATTTTTTTTTTTACAATTATTCTTGTAAATGGCTGTCTTTATTATATGTAACATTTAATTAGAACAAAAATCAAAAAAAAATTTATGTATTTATAATATTATTTTTTATTTTTTGGATTATCAAACAAGTAAATAAATTGAAAATTTCCTTTTAAAGTTTTTAGTCTAACATAAAAATCTAACAATCGTTAACTTATTTGGTTGGTGTCTATAATATTTAATATTAATCGTACATACATATTTTATTATTATTTATTAGTGCGAGATTAAATTTTGAAAACCTTTAGAGGTGTTGACTATTCATTTATACATAAAGAAGGATAATGCGTTAATAAAAATTAAGAATTAATTTTTTAAATTCTACAAAATTAATGCCATACATACGATTAGTAATTGTTGTATCAATTGATGAATCACCAAGCACCTCCAATGTATTAACATCATCTTTCTTGTATATGTTTAAATTATTAATTACAACATATTGTCCGATATTATCTTCGCTAACATTACTTGCAATATCTCCGATAAATGTTATATTTACTTGTCCTATATAATATAATAATTTATTTGTATTAATGACATAAATATATTATCACATAATCTTAGTAAAAATAATACCAACCAGTATCATCACTCAATTTAAATACGCATCTATCAATTGTTTGATCATCCGTCAAGTAAAGAGGTGACTAAACAAATATATCTTTATTAATTAATATTAATTTCCACATTTAAAAAAATAAATGAATTACATACATTATCTAATATTTCTTCAATTTTGCCAAAAAGTGTTATGTTTAATCCTAGTGGTAAATCGCCAATGTAAATTCTTTTTGGATAAAATTCGTAATTGATTATATTCTATTATTGTTATTGTTAGTATGTTTGATAAATTTAATATTTTATAAATTTAAATTAAAATTTAATCATTACTACTGATTTATCCAGATGATTGAATTTTGGTTTTGTCGTCAAATTCTTTTTTACATTTGATTGCTATATTGTGAATTATAATGATTATAAACACCATACTAATAATATTATTAATATCAAACATAAGTATATTTCTTACTTTACAAACTTCGCTCATTGGCAGACAAAATAACATTGTGATGTTTCCATATTGGATGAATATTTCCCGATCATTTGTTTGAAATGGATCAACATATGGCATGTTAATACCTAAATAGTCGCCCTGTAAATGAATTATATATACATACATCATATCATACATATGCTTACAAATAAATTCTTGTATGATATGTGCTCATAAAAATTAATTTTTGTATCATGCATATATATAAATCCACACACTTACACCTTTGAATAAACCAGCTATGTGTACTTGCTCATCAAATAATATTAATGTTGCTGTTGTTGCACCATCGACATCACAAATATGAACAAGTCTTTTGTGCGTAAATCCTACAACATTTGAAGCTTCAATCTTTCCAATATATACTACCTTTATTTTTTTAATTTTGAAGAAAATATATTATTATACTTATGATAATACAATATACTATTTCCATACCATATTTACCTTAACCCAAAATTGATAAATTCTTGAGCCATCAATATCATTATCACAAGATATGTTAGCCAATGAATCAAAAAATAAATGTTCAATTAACTCTTCATCATGCACAGTTAAGATTAAGATAATATTTGGTGTAGGTAAGAAAATTGGTTCTTGAATATTAACAATAATTGGAGCGTGGTTAAATCTAATATATCTTTTTTGCTGATTGTTATTATAGTAGATATTATGTTTAGGTTTATATATGTTGCAGGTATTTTAAACTTGTAGATATATTTATATTTGCGACATAGTTTACATTTATATCATTTCTCACCTTGTAAAAAAAATCTGGGGCATAGCTACTCTCCAAGAAGTTAATTAACCTTGAATGTGCATATAAATCAACTGTATCGGACTTGTTTACACCATCATACAATCTAAAACAATGTGTATATATATATATATACATATATTAAATTAAAGACCATATATATATTATATATTCATTAAATAATAATAAGTTAGATTAGATTAGAAGGATATATCCATGTGCAATATTTGGATGTTTTACAATGGTCAAAACAGGTAACTCGAAACTTGAAAGCTTTGGATTTGTGTTGTAAAAAATTGCATCAAATGATGAAAACTCTAGAAAAAAAATAAAAAATAAAAACTAAAAACTAATATTCTTCTGACGATCTTATATATGACAATGTGATTAATTCAACAATTAATTAATTTACTTTTTGGAATTTCTGGTTGGTATGCTTCGCCTATTCTTTTCCACTAAAATATATGTAATAATAAATCATATCTTTATATATATATATATATATATATATATAATAGGTAAATATCGAAAGTTAAATAATAAAAAAGATGCAAACCATTCTATTTAATTCACTTATGATAATATGTTTATTTAACCCATATAATGCACTTCGATCAATCAAATCTGCTGCTTTTGCACATACCCAACACCTTTAAATAAATTATCATCATTATCATCATTATAATAATAATAATAATTATAAAATATAAACAATTTAAACATAAAAAAAATTTACCAAGATATTGGGTTTATTTTAGGATTTATTACTTCATTTGTTGTATTTTCCTTTTGATTTGAAACTTTATTATTATAACTTTTAAATATAAATTGATTCAACTCTTCACAACAATTATCCACAAAATTTAAAAAATTCATATTTACGTACAAATTTACGCGTCATTGCAAATGACAATCATTGAAATACTCGTGGAGAACCAATCAAATTTTGCGCAGCGTGGATATTAAAAAATTAAACAATAAAAACATTTTAGTTTGCATTAGAAAATAATACTGTTATCTTTAGATTTTTCATCTAATTAATTATTGCTTTAAAATATGAAGCCCTTCCTTACATTTAAAATTGTGGAACAAACAAGTAAGTTGACAATTAATTAATGATTAATTTAAATCATCAATCAATCAATCAATAATCATCATAATCATAATAATAATCATTAACACCATAATTATTATTATTACTGGTACAATACAATATGTTTCAACGGGAAAGAATTGAAGCCGAATATACTCATTTGTTTAAAGGGGAGCAGCCACGTGATTACCACTTGCAAGTGGTATTCTAACTGGTAAACATAATAGTCAAATAGCTGAAGGTCCAAGATTAAATCTAAAGGAGAATGCTGTGATGCAGCATTTAAAGGAAGGATTGTTGTGTGATGAAGGGAGAACTGAAATTGAAAAGGTTGAGAAATTAAAGGTAATTTATAATATTTATAATTTTATGCTGTTGATTTCTAAAGAAATAAACTCAGGATCTAATATAGTGCTTTTTGATATTTGAATATTTATTAGCCAATTGCTGATAAACTTAATGTCTTTTTTCATTACAGTGTTGCAATTAAACCAGAAGTTGAATAGGAAATTATTTGCATAATATTAAACCTGCTCATGTGATACATATTTTGAATCAATAAAAAACTAACATGAATATTTAAGGGTGATCAAAAAAACATAAATAAATACTGTATAATATATTCCAGGGTATAGGATGTTGGCCAAAATCACTCTCTTGATAAATTATTACTGAAATGCCAAAATAGCAAAATTAATTTTAATAGTAGTCATGACTCTTTGATCAAAACAAACCAAATAGCATTTATTTTATATAAAAAATGTTGAGGATCATAAATTTTGAAACAATTTTTGATAGCATCTATGTTCCAAGGCCTTCTCTTCATTTTGGTGCCAAAAACTGATATTTATCATACAAATCATTGAGAAAATTGTCTTTAAATACAATAAATTCCCAAGGATGTACTTTTTTATTAATATTGTGGTGCCCAAAGTTAGTCCAATCCCCAATCCCTGAAATATACAGGTGGAATCATACTTGCCAGGGTATTTTTATTCAAACAATGTCAGGAGGTCTTCTAGTGCTCTTAGAATTTGACAATAAAGACTTTGAGAATCAAAATTGCTTGACATAATTTAAAAGCAATATTTTTTTTAATTCAGAATTTCAAATTTCAAATTTCAAATTTGATTTAATTTTATTTTGGATTTCGAATTTTTCACTATCATGATGTTCTTGGCCTTTTGAGTTTATAATTGTGGCTAAAAATTCATGATTGCTTAATTTTTTTTAAAAAATAGAATCACAACCAAGTAAAGTGAAGAAATAGTGCAATAGTAGTAGAAGCAGATGGAAAATAGTTGGTTTAGAATTTAAAATTGTTGCCATTTTTTTTTTATAATAAATTTCCATGAAAACTGAAACTAATATTTAAAATTTTTGGAATATAGATAGGACTGTGCTAACAAAACAGGTTAGACTCAAAATTGTTATAGGTATAGTACTAAGCTGTTTATTTGGATCAAAATCAGCATCCAATTTTAAAAGTTGAAAACAAGTTATTTTCTTAAGTGTTTCAGATGTCTAAGATTTGTAAACAGAATAGTAAATAGCTGATTTGGATAACAATGAATCATATCAAGCATATCTCAGAATTGCCTGGAGCATTCTAGAAGCCAACTTTGATTTAAGTAATTTGGATGCTAGTACAATGATTAGACTATTGATTGAAGTTCTCTCCATTCATTATTATTTTTATTATTATTACAATATTTTGAACTTTAATTGTGATAATATTTGAGATATGGGATTCATTCATGATGTATTTTTTTATACTTGCACACACATACACACATATCATCACATTTAATATAATTTACAAAACAAACAAATTTGCAAAAACCATTATAGAATGTCTTGGTGAAAATCCTGATATGTGAAAAACTTGCACAAGAAAAATTTTTTTTTGAAGGTGATTATGAGATAATATTAAAACATATATGTATCATTGCTGTTATCATTGATTGTGAATATCAATGTTGCAATTAATTAATTATTTAATCAAATAATAACTTTCTCATATCTTATTATAATATCTTTCTCATTACTAAATCGTTCTTCTATAGACAAATATTGGATATATTCCTAATAGATGTGTTATTGGGTATATTCAAATTTAGCAAAGAATTGCAGAAAAACAAAACATATTGCTGTGACTTTACAAGAAATGTTTAGCCCACAATGTGTTGTTGCAGTTTTGGAGGCAAAGTAAATAATCTGATTGCTGATATATTGGTTATAAATTTAATGAATCATTACTTCTGTTTTATTTATACAGTCATTTATGTGTGATGTATAAAAACCACTGTATTGAGCAAGTGTTATGTTAGGTATTTAGAGAACAAGTTAAAACAAGAGAATAATTCCTGACTTTAAAAAATACTTGAATTATTTTTTTACCTTAAATAGTAAAAGATATTGTGCTTATACTCCTCTATAATTAATGATTTAACAAGTTAATTATTTATTTCAATATATTTTCAAAATGATATATTATTTTTTTTACCTTTGTTTCATTTGCAAAATCAATGAAACTTTTTTCTTTACAGCTTCTTTGAACCGTTGTTCAGAAATTTCTCTTGTTACTCGTCTACGTTTTACAGTTGGTTTTTCATAATATCTATTTCTTCTTGCCTCAAGCCTTGTTTTATTAAGAAAAAGTATAGTGTTTACACGCCTATAAGATTGTAATACATTATTATTTGTTACAGGTACACTTCTACCAGCTGTTGGTTTAAGATCTCCTTCCTTTGGATTTGATAATGGGTAGGCAGGCTTATACATGATATTTGTTTGTTTTGTAAATGGTGTTGGGATTTGAGAAACAATGGAAGATTTGTATCTTAAGCAATTTATTGTATCGAAATTGTTGATGGTTTTTATTTTTGTAAAAAGATTCAATCTAAACATTATTTAAAAAAATTTTATGAAATTTGTGGTGCAAAATTTTGCCGATCATTAGTATAATTTTGTGGCGATAATAGTCGGACGACATTTCACAGTGACTGATTTTAATATATGATCGACATGGCACGTTTTCTGTACAACGGACTTTGGCGAATGAATTGAACGTAAACTCATTATTAAACAATTTTCGTGCCTCTAAGTAAAAACAATCACTTGCCTTTGACCTTTAAAACGCGAGCTTTATGCATTTGTAGCTCTTCCAGTTATGGAGTAATAGCCTCTCAAAGAAACCTATGGTTTTTGACTTCGGAAGCTTAATTCTTTTCGGAAATCAGCTCTATTGAGATCGTTTTAGCATGATAAGACAGAGTACATTAAGAGCTTTCAGAAAATATATGATTCGGATGGTTTTCTTGGGGAAGGAAGAAATTAAAAGCAAAAAACGGTTTTATAAGTTATTTATTATTATATATAAGAGCTTTTTAACAAAGTTTTTTTTCGCATTACTGTTTTCTAACTTTTATTATATTAATATTAATAATGATTAGATAATATATGAAGGCACAATCTTTTAATTGGAGTTTCTACTCAAAAGGTTACAAAAGAAAAAATATTTTAATATATTGATTAATATTCTCAACTTAATAAATTATTAATTATTAATATAAATGATAATAATCTTTAAATTTAGAACTTTTGTTTATTTATTTTTATTGTGAAGAATTTTTAAGATAGTATGAATTAATGACAAAAATAAGAAAAACAAGATAATCTCAATTGAATGAACAGATAACAAGAAGGAAAACTATTAAATATTAGTATTAGGTATCAAAAATTATATTAAATGAATTTAATTAATATATTTATTAGATTTTTTTTTTTTTGTCAATATTTAATTGATTGTTTGTTATATGTTAAAAATTAACTATATAGATATGAAAAAAATATTTTAAATGATTATATGGCTAAACAATGTACCACTAAAGAAAAGTTTGTGATCTCACTGAGTTTTATATTAACATTATAATTTTTTTTTTTCATATTATCATACCAGTAATCTCTTAACTTTATTG